AAAAAAAAAAACAAAAGAAAGAAAAAGAAAAGAAAGTACACCTCCCATTTAAGTAAGAAGTGTCAGTACAGGGAAGAAGGTCAGAACATTGCCATGGTGAGATGAGTGTGCCCTTGGAATCCTGCGCATTTGCCCAGCTGTTTGATACAAACCAGGAAGCACCAATGAAGTTCAGAAGCAAGTTCTCCAGAGAAAAGGAGGACAGTACACATTCAGGGCCTATTTCTGTAAATACCATCCTGATCATTAGATCTCCTCCTTCATGCTCCAGCTGAGGCTGAAGAGATAGCCTCAGGCTCCTCCCTTTTTGTTTCTTCTGCCAAGAGCCCATCCTACCTTGAGGTCGATTATCCCACTCTTCTGCACTGGGAGGTAGGTGACCCGAAAGCCCTCAGCTTCTAGTGAACGGCAGGAGTCCAAGACACATTTGTGTTCAGTCTGGGTAGTGATCACATGTTTTTTCCGTGACCTATAGAACCTGGCCACCCCCTAGAAATTGTGGTGGTGGAAAGAAAGAGAATACACTCAGAAACAGTAATAACTTCAATCATACTTAGAAGAGGAAAATGGGCAAGGACAGTATGTATGTCTAACATCAATTCTCTGATACCAACTGAGTATCCTACAATTCAATTCAATTTGACACTAACTACCAGAGTCAGTGAAAACCCCATGGGTTATGGACTTGGTCACACAAGACTACCCCTATTTCAGATGCCAGATGAAAATCTTGAGTGTATCAAAACACCTGTATGTTTGCTCAGCCAGCTACAAATTCAGGGCTTCCTATAGCTATCTCAAGTTCAATAATTTGCTAGAATGACTCATATTTTTGTTCAAACCCAGAAAATGTACAATATCAAGGGTGAATCCTAATGCAAGCTCTGGACTTCCAGTGATAATGATGGGTCATTATCAGTTCATCAATTGTTAGTTCATCTCTTTCTGGTGGGAGATATGGCTAAAGGGGAGGAGGCTGCACATGCTTAGGGGCAGATGATATATAACAGATCTCTGTACTTTCCTTTTAATTTTGCTGTGAACCTAAAATTGCTATAAAAAAACAAAGTCTGGGCTCGGCGCCTATAGTTCAACCGGCTAAGGCGCCAGCCACATACACCTAAGGTGGCGGGTTCGAATCCCCAGCCCGGCCTGCCAAACTTGGAAAAAATGATTCTGTGTTTTGTGTGGAACCAGAAAAAACCCCGTATAGCTAAGGCAGTTCTTAGTAATAAAAACAAAGCCGGGGCTCGG